AAATCATTTCGACATCAACGCGGGATACAACTCATTCTACTTACCTTTAGCATCTCTTATGCCGCCTAGTTTCCCCCCTAAATAGGCTCCGAGTATCAAACCCGGTAGATTTCCAATAATAAATCCCAAAATACCGCCAGCTACCGTTCCTATCGGAGCGTAAAACCAATGCGGAGTGTCGACTTCCGGTCGTAATAGTTCTTCGAATATGTTACCGAAGAGGAGATCCGGATCCGGCGATGTAAATGTTGAATAGAATACAGATAAGGCAGAAGCTGGGGGTGTGTCTGATGTTGAAGATGGGGTGGAGCGTGGAGATTGTACGGAGGGTGAACGTATAGCAACAAGCAAGTATTGGAAAAGCAAGCATGGTAGACTTGTTGCAAATTTGTTCCGATCCAACAGTTTCGATAACGCAAACTTGGATTTTTGTACATATAACTCGGCTTCACCATGAACCTCTGTGTTTATGATTTTTTCCTCTTCGAATTTTGATGGCTGTATGGAATAAAAAGTGCAAATCCGTACGGTTTACAAGAGATCCAGTTTGCTTTCCCCGAGACAATCATTCCATGCATGATGCCGGGAAGGATTATGTAAGACGATTGTGTCAGCCGAGACGAATGGATCGAACTTTGGAAAAAAAGATTTTCTTCTTTTACGTGCCGAAAGAATTCTCAAAACTCTATCCTTATTCTTATCACGCAATATGGAATGGAGAATAGATTTGCGTTAGATATCAAGCGTTAGGGCTATATAATAATCTGAAAGTGATCACCAATGATCTTGTTGGGTCGGAGGGGATGGTACTGCGGCCGTATGACAAAATCATTTCGACATCAACGCGGGATACAACTCTCCTCTTCTTAACTCTGTTCTACAGCTTAGTTAAATCCCACGTATAATAATATTCTGATTACTGGTTTTCCCCTCCAATTACGCCAATCTAAATAGGAATTTCGGTATACGCAGCATATCAAAAGCTGAATAATAATACGAAAGCAGCAATTTTGGCTGCCATTGCGGCTAAAGTGATTAGGTGATGGGGAAAAGGTGGTGGACATTATAAATCAGAGCGAGAGCGTGGGAGATAGAAAACTTTCTGTATTAGGTTGTTTGAGGGCTTGTTTCTAGTTGTTTTTCTTTTCTCTTTTTTTTTTTTCTATTCTATATGGTTCGGGTCTATTTGCGTTTCTATTGTTACTATGTTTTATAATCATAATACTATTGTATCTTACCATGGGTGTGAATTGCTTAAACGATAGAACGCATCGTATCTTGGTTTAATTGATATTATTGTATTTTTTTGTTTGGCATTTTAAATTGCCTACGCTTGGCACGTGGATAAATTATTTAAAACACGGGGAATTAATTGGCGACCACAATCCAATGAAGGCGGCGTAATTGGTATGAAATATGGCATCCAATAAAATTTCCTTGTCCTATGATCGACTGTGCATTTTTACCGCCTGATTTTCCGTAGTATGATAGATCATTGCAAATTCTCCGATTTTTGTCACCATTGCTTGGCATTTCTGTACACGTGAATCAATAATCTTGGCATCGAGACCACTAGCTACAATACGAAAGTGTCAACCGTTTATTGTTTGTGGATCTGTGACTTGCCTATTCAGACTATTTTTAGCTGCATTTTTTAATTAAACTATAAATTTTGGTTTGATCGATCAACAATCTTCACCTCTCCAACAAATATCTCGATAAGCTTACCAACATCGAGTAGGACAATACTAAATACCCAACCTTTACCATCACGTGTATGGTTTCGCCTGCCATATCTCGGGTATGTTTTTATTCCAAGTAATGTCTTTTCCTCTGGTACGAGTTGCCAAGAATAGATGAATTGACGAATTATGACTTATTTTTGGCATCCAATTTATCCGAAGCTAATGCCAACATTCAGTGGTAAGTCAAGTGTTGCAGCAAAGAAAAAAAAGAAAAGTCTTTCATATCTCAGCAGATGGAGTTCTTGGCATTGGTAAAAGTTTAATTGTATGTTAATTCAAATATTTGCTTGGCGCGAGCTAAATTCGAGCGAAAAAGTAACGGAAAACTCTCTTGAGAATATTACCTCACAGTTTCTAAGAATGCCAAGCACAAATAATCGTAAAAGGCAATGTATAATTTCATTGTCCTATTTGATTTGACGATCTGCCAAGACTATTACGTTGCAAATGTGCCAATTACAGTAATTTTAACGAGTCTAGCCAATCACCCGCATTTGGCTTGGCCCTGACATCCGAGACATATAAAAATGAACCGGTCGAAGACGAAACGCACATAGTCAACAGAACCCGTGGGCGCATATAATAAACAAAGATCACATTCTTAGTAAAAAAATACCAAGCAAATACCTAAAAATCGGACATTTTGTAATAGAATTCACTCGAGAATACTCTATTCGCTTTCTGACACATTTCTCCTCTGAAATAATACACTTTCGAATTCTCAACCAACAATGTCTGTAACAACACCACCCTCAGACAGCCCAAGCGCCATGCACAACTCCTCAGAGCTGGTTTGTCTCTGGAAACAATGCCATCTCAAATTCGAAGATCCCGAACTACTCTACCACCATCTGTCTAACGATCATGTTGGGAGGAAGGCAACTGGAAACCTGTGTTTGGAATGCCATTGGGAAAAATGCGAGGTCAAGACAGGAAAAAGAGACCACATTACAAGTCATTTGAGAGTACATGTGCCGTTGAAACCGCATGTTTGTGAGGTTAGTAAGAGATAACGGGACAACGGCTCGCACGTAGTAGTAGTTATAAACGTGGATTAGTTTTGTATATAGATAGGGGGAAATGACAATGTTGTAAATAACAAGTCTTGGTAATTGACGATAGAATTAAGCGTTTGACTTTTTGCCGGTTGCAAAGAAAAAAGTTCCGATAGCGGACACAATCAGAAGATTTGTTTTTTCTCATTTCGACTCGTTTCCACATTCCAACCACACTTTTCTAGACATGTAATAAAGCTTTTAAACGAAGACAAGATCTTAAAAAGCACGAAAAGATCCACACAGAACAACACCAACAGCTAATAAGCGACCACAAGCATCAGCGTCTGCAGAAAACGAGTCATCCACAAACACCTCCACAATATCCTCCAGCTAGGTCGCCGTCGGTGTGCTCCTCTATTGAATCACAGTCTAGCTTCCCATTAAGTCCAAACAGAGTTGTTCCTGGTAGGTTGAAAGTGAGAATGGGTTTTGTCAGTGCATAAATTTTCATTATCATGGTATTCAAGCGTATATGAATGCTTTGCGATAATTATGCTCGTTGTTATACATTCATGTCACATTCTCACCATCTCTCGCCCCGTTTTTTTTTTTTTTTCACATGACAGGATTTGGCTTCAATACCACTCCACCGCACGACAATAACTACGATAACTATGACGTCTATAATCCCAACTACGACAACTATGACATTTCGAACCCGACTGTGATTCCCGAATTTTCTAATTATAACAATGTCAAGCGTCCCGACGTTTCCACTGGTAACACTTACGTACCCGCTTCTAACAAGCGTACCATTGATGCAGTGGAAGAATTTTACCTGGACGTCAAGAGAAAACGGGTGGATCCGGTTTATAATCAAGGTAAATTGACAGCACGTTGTAACTCGAAGAACCGTCTATGATACGAGTTCGAGAATCTGTCGAGTGAATCCTATCGTATCACAGTCAAATGACGTTGTAAAAAATCATGATCGTGTGTGGAGAGCAGAATAGTCAACGCTAAGGAGGGACTGGTTTTAGATATAGAATTGATAATGTTTAACCAATTCAGTGAGAACCATTTTTCGCCTGATGAGATTAGCTTGAGACTTATATATATACACCCGCATACATATATACATACAAGTATACGTATACACATCCACACACACTTTTACACGACACAAACACAAATACATACACGCATTCCCTTCCCACCACACACATTTATTCATATACATATAGTACAATAATGTTTTCGCTTTCAAAAAGTGTCATCCGTAGCAGTTAGTACACGCCCATTTGGGAAACACCTTTAAATTAGTCTATTCTACTTGTCTTTAGCCTAATTGTTTGTAGTATAGTAACAAGCGTCATTTTATTATTATTTTTTTTAATTGTGCGCTTTATTTAAATAGTTTCGTTGAATCTGGCAATTGAT